TGTGCAAAACTTATTGATCAGGCGCTTTAAAAGCTCGGATACGGCAAGAAATAGACAGAAACTTTATTATGATAGAAAACGCCGTGAAGCAGATTTTAAAGTTGGGGATAAAGTATTGAAGCGGAAATTTTCTTTATCAAGTGCCCCAGACAATTTTACTGCAAATTAGCTCCAAAGTTTGAAGGCCCCTATGTAATTCAGGAAATCAAAGGGAGTCGTATTGTACCTTAAGAACGAGAGAGGGGAAATCTGTAAAGCAAGTCCCGACCAGGTGAAAAAAATATTATAATCCAAAATGATTTTGAAATCCTTAAAAGTTTCTTGCAGGACTCAAGTCAAAAGAAGTAGAAATTCCAGAAATTAACGCCACCCGTTCCACCACCCAAGAAGCAGAGAACTGAAGAGGAACCTAGCCCTTCTACAAGTCATTCTAGGGTCCCGAAAAGAAGGAAAAAATGGTCAGACTCCAGCATTAAGAAAACAGGAAATCAACGCCGCCTCGTAAAGAATTTGGTAAAGAACAGGAAAACACCACCTACAAAATCCCACAGTAGAAAATCTGCATCAAGGAGAAACCACTTCCAGGGCCAGAGAGTCAGGTGCAAACAAGGCCGCCGTTCCGAGAAAAGAAAAGACAGCAAGAGGAACGAAAAGATAGACCAGCAGAAGAAAAAAATTCAAGCAAGAATCCAGACCGGAGGCCGCCAAGACCAGCCGTCCAGGGGCCAAACGGAAAAAGACAGGAACCCGAAGACTACCACCCCAAGAGGCCAGCGTACAGAGGGCGAAAGAAGGAAAGTGGACCATGGAGGAAAAGGAGAAGATTGACTTCCATGAAACCTGTAACTTGGGATCAATTCTGCCAGAAGAGGATGTCGGAGTTTCCAAGCATCGAAAACTCAAAGATAAGTTAAAATCTTCTATAAATTTTTTCTTTTGTTCCTGAAATGTTATGTGTAAATACGAAGTTCTATGTTTTGACGGAAGTCAATTTGTCTCGGTTGAGACTTAGTTTTGTTTTACTTTATTTAGCTAAGGCAAAAGTATTATTTTCTTTAAGTGTAAAATCTAAGAACAAGCAGTTTTCTGTTGGTCGAAAGACTAATTCTGTTATGTTAAAGCCAAAATTTGGCCGAAGATAAAAATAACTTCGTATTCTTGTATTAATAAAATTTAGTTTCAGTGCCGCCAGCTTGGCGAAGAAAGAAAGCGTAAAGTAAAAATTTATTTTCTCTTATTCATTTTATGGTAAATTGTAAAAATCATATGTATTAGAATTTTGTAAATATACGTAAATACTTGAAAGTTATGTAAAAGTAGAATTTAGTCTAGAAGCATAAAATTTTAGATGCTAAAAGTAAATGCTCAAAAGAAATGAATTAAAAATTTAAGTATTAAACTGTAGATAAAATCATGCTTTAGAGCGAAAGCCTGCATGTTAAAGATGAATGAGGGGGAAATTAGAATGAATGTGTTTTGTAGGGTTCTCCACCTACACTTGAATTTTAAGAATGTTAAAATAGCTCATCGAGTTTAGAATGTTGGAGTAAGGGTGTGTCTATTTGGTCGTTGAATTCTAACAAATCATTGTGGTTAGGGGAAGTGTGTTGAAATACTAAAAAACACGAATATTCCCGTTTGACACCACACATGGTGGAGAACCAGGGTAAAGTTAAATTCATGTTTGAAATTGAATGAATGTGAATTTAAGCAAAAAGCAAGAATTAAGCTTTAAATAAGGAAAAGAAAATGATCGAAAAAAAAATCGAGTGTTAAGAAAGTGTAAATCATAATGTATTTAGAATATACTGATACTTATTCCTTCCAGATGCTGGAAGGAAGAGAGAAAAGATTGATTGACTGAAGAACCAGCAGAAGGATGCTGTAAGAAGATATTGTATTGTAATCGTCTACAAAAAATATTGTAAAATTTTGTTAGGCAAAAGTTTTTTTTATGTAAACGGAGGCTCTTGAAGTTAGTTCAGAATGTGGAAACTTTTCAACAGGTCGTTTCTAGGACCTGCTTCCAAGTTTCCAAATTCTGGCAGCGGCAAATGTAGGGTTTATCACATTATAGCAGTCCTCCAGAGTTTGCGACAGTGGGCTCCAATCAATCCTAAAAAATAAATAATAAATTGGATAGTGAAACACCCATCCATTTTCCCGAATTCTAAATATTTTAAAATATTAATAAGGCAGTCATTGTACCCATAAATACTAAATTATTTAATCCTGCTGCTGTCATGTACCCTCACACAAGAACACCTCCACCGTCATGCTTTTCTGTTCCAACCAAGGTCTTGGGATTAAGCTCCTCATTTTTATTTTCTCCATACAATTATACGCCCATCGGAACCGAAAATGTTTAAAATGTTCATCTGCAACTAAGGCATGATTCCAAAGCGTTTAGGGCCTATTAACCATTGATGTCGAGAAGAAAAGCTTGATTTTGGTCACAGTAATTGCCACATGGGCCTGCTTTTGTTAATAAAAGTTTTTCTAATGTGTAATTATTAATATCGTATCTAAAGTTAGTCCTTGTTTTAGCAATAACACTGAAAACCCTCTTGCAGTCTGCAACACTATGGGGAATTGTCAGCATGGCTAATTTATTCTAAAATTCCATTAGCACCTTTTAGTTTTCCAATTAAACTCCACTGAGTGTCAATCATTGCTGGTTTTATAACTTAAGTTTTCTAATTGTAAATTGCAAAATTGCTACTACGATTTTTCAGTTGCAATATCAATATCATCATTTTTCAAAACTAAATGAAGTAAAACTAAAAATCTATTCAAAATATCTTAAACTTATTATCAGAACAAAAATGCATTTGCTACAGCGGAAAAATACACAACTTTGCATGTAAAATCATTTTATCATTGACTGGAAATATATACAGTATGTAATTACATACTCATTGCAATCAAGAACTGAATATCTGTTTTTCCACAGCCATTTCTTTAGAACAATCCTTGCACTTGAATATTTCTTAGCGATTTCGCTATCGGGAAACATTTTTTCTAAATGAAGCTGCAGCGTGATCCGATGCTTGTGGGAGGTTGTGCTCCAGTAAAAAAGCAGAGAACAGGCTTTCCGAATTAATAACTTTTGTGTCCTTTGTTTACACAGAAAAAGTAATGTTTTGTTTACCTAATAAAACTCACGCAGTCCTTGTGTTTTGCGTACGCATATATATAAGGAGATTGGTCCTGCTACCGTGCGAAATCGAAAAATCGCAATGACAAAAAGAAAAGTTTCTCGAAATCAAATGAAACCCACAGCGCTGAAAGGCGAGATGAACGAAATAACAATCGCGATCTCGCTTTGTGCTCACTGGCCAGATAATATACCAGATAACCCGAAGCAGGGCTTGATGCTCATTGGAGAACTAGAACACGAGATGTACGGACACATGTGCTTTCACACACAAAGTCATTGTAAGAATTCTGAAACGTAGGCGCTTTAAAAATCCTATTTCTCTTCTTATTTGTTAAGGCTGCCATATGATTTTGAAACTTTTAACTGAAATATCTAATGTAATCCGAATTACATATTTTGGAAATTTTTTTCCCGTCATCTTCAAACTTTGTCGGTTTAAGAATATCTAAAACTAACATTTCATTTTGTGGAACCCTTAAAATGTTTTTTGGTGGAAGCTCTACTTTTCCAGGAAAGTAAATGTTAACAAACATTGATCATATATTGAAGTTACATATACTTTTTGGGAAAATGAAAGGAAAATCATTATTTTATAATAATATTACTCATAAAAACATAGCTACTTGATTTATTCTTAGGTAACAATAATAACAGAAAAAATACTTTTAATTTTTAATGAAATAAACTTAATTAAAAATACTAAATTAATATACACTACCCGATATTGCATATTCAACACCAAGAAGGAGTGGCCCAAAACTAATGAAAATTTCAGGGTAGATGCACGTCACCGAGTATGAAAATGAAGTGCAGCTCTCCAGCACACATTAAAGAAGATATCAGGGAAGAAATCTGCAGAATGTTCAATTTTCGTGCCTTTATTTCTGTTAGAGAAATCATCATAGAAAATTAGTTATTCTCTCAGAGGATGCATGTAATAACAGAGAATGCCAAGCCATCAGCAACGGAGGCAGTTCCAGCAGGCAGACGATTTTACGAGGGGCATGGTGATCCGAATGAGAAGGGCAGGTTGGTCCATACGGCAAATCTGCGGTGGCACACACCTGGACGCGTCCACAGTGCACCGGCTGTGGCAACAATGGTTGGAACAAAGAAATGGTGGCAAGTTCGAGGGGTGTCGGTGCAGCCAGAGTGACGTCAGCACGCGTGGAGCGATGCATCCACCGACAAACGGTAGCGCACTCGCAATCCACTTCTATCTCCATTCTGCACCCTATTCAAGACACCATGGATGTTACCATATCGCTTAGAACCATTTGATGTCGATTGGTGGCGCCCGTTAAGAAGACTACCATTGTCCCCAAAACATAGATGCCAACGTCTGCAACGGTGCCCGGCTCCAGCGATGTGGACGACATAATTGCACACGTGCAATTCCGTCGTCCACATGAGTTCCAGATAAGTTCCGCTTCTGCTTCTCCAATGTTAGTTCCCCGGCTCGAGCGATTTGGAATGGAACAGGGTCGTGTTCTCAGTTGAGCACGCTTCTGTTTCTCCACTTTATAGTCGTCGCGTACGAGTGTGGCGTCGATGTGGAGACGGGTCCAATCCGGCAGCAATTGTGAAGTGCTCCACCGCGCAATAACGCGGCATCATGGTTTGGGGGGGCAATTGCGTACGTTTCCAGATCACTTAAGTAACAGGGTATTGCATACCACTTGGCATTTCTTACTTCGTTCGCAGATCCCAGCTTCGTTCCGGGAGTGTCCATAACGTATAAATGTTGTAATTAAAACCACTCCATGGTATCAATGGCAGAAGACAAATGACAGGCTATAATTAGATGAAAACAGAGCGTCAAACTTTTATTCCAACTTACCATCTTCTCCAGGCTCTCCTTTGAAACTCATACCCGATGGTCCCAATTCTCCTCGTGGTCCGGGTTCCCCTGGTGCTCCAGGTAAACCACCGTAACCTACTGGGCCAGGAAGACCAGGTCTACCTGTAAAACAGAATCAATATTCATATTTTTATTAAAATAACTCTGAAATATGCAATTTAAATTAGAAGCATAAATTACTGTCGCACCTGGTTAGATACCATTTAAAAAGGGAGTAGACAAGTCACCAGACAATGCATTTGGAGAAGTAGCTATATTACCTTAAAAAATTGAAAGCGATTTTTTAGATAAGAAATTCTTAATTGTGTTCGGAAACGATCCGGCTGAACTCTGTGTACCTCTATCGACTAGATTTAAACATCATATGAAGATCACAAGTAGATGGATTTATCTGTGAGGGCGTATCGAGCGACACGAATGAGCAATCGAATATACATATAAACCGGCATGTTGAAACAAAGTATTTCAGTCGTAATTTTCATGCCAAAATCAAACGTACATTCTTAAATACAGCCAACCAGTCATACCGACAGTCTACTGGAAAGTGCCGTAGTGAAGGTTTCCGACTCAGTGACACCCACCCGAAATGTTGGAAAAAATATAAGTATTCACGGTTTTACGAAAGTTCACTTTCATACTTCTTCGTTTTCAGGAAACTCACGATCACTTTATGCCACTTCGGTTTCACGAAAAACGTTTTACATATTCATTTAACACAAGAAATCTAAATAGAATTTCTCTTTTATGAACACAGCGACTAGAGTTATCTACGTAATAACTACAGAAGAATATAACTTTGAGTAATAGATTTAGCACAGGGTTGCAGAACATTTTGAATACCTGCAAAGAACTGTATGGAAGAAAATGGACAGTCAGTAAATATTTAACCAAGGTTACTAATATTTATTTCAAGGCTATCAGACGTAATTAATGATAAATTTAGATTTTTCAATATTGAAGCAAGTAGACATAGGGAATTTGCAGACATTAATGACCTGCCTGTCCTAAAAGGATGCCACTCAGACAGGATAGTGGTTAGTAATGCTGATTGCCGTACAAAAGGGCCCAGGTTCGAATTCAGGAGAAGGCATGGATGCTTGTAAGCGTATGGTGTCTGTGCAGCATGGCGAGGTGAAAGTCCTCTAGGTAGGTTGGTGATAGTGAAAGAGAGGTGGGAGGCCCTCAGACCGCCCCCGGAATATTATCCCTCAAAACTGGAACGGAAGCCTAACATTATCTATGTTCAGCAATATCTCATCACCTGTGGTACTACAACAGAGGTGCTGGCCTAGCGTCTACCTGTACTTCTCTTAATAAGATTCAGATAAAATGTCCTCCTCATCTTTTTACTATAATGCAGATATATATAATGCAGATTCCGCTATCTACCATTCCATCAGACTTCCTCATCCTTGCCTTTCTGATTCTGCAAGGTGAAACTTAATGAAAGTAGAAATGTTATTCTCATTTCATATATATTTATTATATAACTACTACTTTTATTATGCGTTACTATTATTTTAGATTTTGTTTGTTGTTAGGTTTGCTTGTTGTTTGTTGTTAATTTTATACGTTACATTTTGGACATCTCTAACATGAGATCACTCAAAATCTTTCATAATATAAATTAATAGTAAACGCTTTTAGTTTCAGCTTATTTCGCTTTTTAAGTTTATATAAATTTCTTAAGAGCTCTCTGTTTTTTAAAAAGCGAAGGAAACGTATCGTGAAGGACTTGGAGACGCAAAACCTTTAATGTGCAACACATGGGAATATATATAAAGTATAGTATATTCAGTATAGTATAAGGACTCAAAACGGCTTGGTATGGATCAGCAGTAGCATTTGGAAGAATCTGTGAAATGGCATATCGTCGGCCGTTTAGAAGCAAGGTAGACAATCTTGAAATCAGTAATATGTGTGAATATTTCAAGACAGACCGTCTTTACGCTACTGAAACAAATTCAGAACCCTAGAACTGCTATAAATAGACCTAGAGAAGCCATAAACGAATAACAACTGCTTCTTAAGATCGACATCTGGCAATAACTGCCCGCCGCAGCAGGAAGTCTGCTGGTCAGCAGTTAAGTTCAGAGCTTGGAGCCACTACCGGCAGTGTTGTATACAGCAATCTATGTAACACTTAATAAAAAGCCCTTTATGCCAGAAAGCCAAGGGTATATGTCTCACTGTCTTCACAACAAAAGAGGGATTGCTTTCCACCAATAAAGGCCATCAGAACTTAAGAGAACACAAATGGTCTCATGTTATATTTACTGATAAGTGGAGATTTAAGTTAAGATCTGATTATATGTGTGTTCATCTAGAGGGAGCCAGGCACAAGAAGTCGTTTTTCGAATATTATGGAATGTTGACCGTTTCTGTAATGTAGGTATAATGGTATGGAATAAAAATGGACGGTCGTACGCCCCTACACGTTTTCAACAGCTGATCTGTAACAGGTCAGAGATATCGGGATGAGGTCTTAGAATTTTGTATAAAACTGTGGGTATGGACCTAATATTGTATTTATGGACGATAATGCTCGTCTACATCCAGAAAACCACGTTGACGAATTTCTTGAAAGTGAAGACATTGGGCGAATACAATGGCCAGCAGAATCTTCTGATCTTAACCCGACAGGCAAATGACTAGGCGAACTTAATTCCCCAAACTGTGGTTAACAACGTACTTGTCAGCATGGAAACACGTTATGATATATGTTTACAACTCAGGGGAGATAACATTCCATATTTAATATATGAGCCTTACTTTTTTCTAAAATTTTTAACATTTTATTACCGTTTTTATTGTTTTTAGCTATAGTTTTATATCATATACCATGGTCTTCCTTTTCTCTTTTGTATTTATGTGCTATGATGTAATGTATCATTCCACACAAATTCATGAAATTATAATTCTCAGTTTTTGTGAAATCCGCGATTTCATGCATGTAAACATAATTTTGAAAATAAGGAAACAAATATAGTATAAAAATTCATCATATGAGAATTTTAAATGATATCGTTCAAATCTGTTCCCCCTATAAAAGTTAACTGATTAATAATAAAGATGCAAATGAAATGAAATTCCATCAGGGTTAAGCATATCCAGCATTTCCTATCCAAAATAAGTTCAAAAATATTCTAACGGCACTGAAGTTTATGAATAATTCATTTCTACAGATATTCCCGAATAATTCATAAATATTTCAAATAAGCTGACACGGAGTAATAACACATATTAATAATTCATACATATTTCAAATAAATGTAGTGCATATCAGCGTTTCTCAAACTTTTTTCAAGTAGAGACTATTTTTATAAGTTAGAATACTTTGTGTAATTTTATAACCTTCGAAAGCAAATTTTAGCATATGGATATATATTTTTTTTAAATACAATTAATTTTATTTTATTTTATACTGGTAGTAAGTAGTTAAGACAATAGAAGACAATGTACATTTGTTGTTAAAATTCACGCTATTTAAGTTTGGGTATTATTTAGTTTGTGTATTTTATTAGTTTGGGTAGTTTATTTGTAGAGATTAGTTATTTCGAGTTATTAGGATAGGCCTAATTAGGAATATTAGGTTATTTCGAAGTAGGGACATGAAACATGAGCATTGCCCTTACCGGGACTCGAATCTCGGACCTCTCGAATACAGGCTAAGGATTTTCAGCTATAGTATGGTATACGCAGTCAATTTGATTTAGTTTTTCTTTCTCTCTCCCTTTTTAAATCTATAGGGATCATAAGGCCTGACTTGAGGACCACAGACTGAGAAGGTTAGGTTAGATGCCTTCGTGGAGGACTTTCTAAGCCACAGACTGAGAAACGCTGGTGTATGTTAACAATTTATCAATATTTCAAATAAACATGATATTATATTGAATAAAATATGTTAATTTCACTCTTAGCTGTAATTCGAAATTTATTTCTTTTTTAATCTGGGGAACAGTACTGTTTGTAACAGAACGGATTTTAACAGATTTGAAAGAGATTAATATTTTTTTTTTTTTATGTTAAAAGAGTTTTGACATGAAATACTGCCGTTTTCGCGAATCCTAAAGACTTTTTGTTGCCAAAATGTCCATAAAAATAGCGAAACACTTTTAAAAAATTCTTTTTTTCCCTTAAATGCTTTGCAGTGTTTAAAAGAAAGGGCTCTCAAAATTCACTTGCCTCTTAGACTTTAAAAAAATGCAGATGAAACAGAAAACGTTTGGCACGTTCGAGCTCTTGAAAAGCCTCGTTGAGCAAAAATGCATGCACGGGATAGTAACATAGTTATTTCACTATTAACCCGCCGAGCATTGCTAGTTTAGCCCTAAAATTTCCAAGTTTCTCAAAATGTCATGAATAAATGGTACTTTCTTGTTTATAATTCAAAAAACGACTCTCTCATTTTGTACCTTGATTCCTTTTCTTTCAATATAAAACTTCCAATCTGAAATCGAACGCAATTAAAGCTGGCAGAAATTTTTACGTGTAAATGAATACGAAAGCCACCTTTCTAAGCATGGAGTATCATATGAAACTGTGCTAAATGCACCTCAACATGAAGTAATGTAAGAAGTTTAGTTTGTCATGCAAGTACGTACACTTCAAATACTAGAAATTATGCTGTGGGATAACAAATCAAGTATTTTCACACTGGATACAAGATTTGGAATTTCCAGTTTGAGCAAGCAGTGATGTCAGTGAGAGAATAGACTAATCTTGTTCAATAAGATATGCTGTATTGGTGTGTAGATGAGCTTTACCCTACTAGCAGATCACGCTCTATTTGGCATATAAATAAGCGAAAACAACTTTGCAATATCATTGAGATGGAAAACTGTCCGAGAGTATTTTTGGCGGCTTTGCAGTATTTTGACGGATGGCTAGTATTTATGCAAATAACTTTCAGCTTATCTGTATCAATATTAGTTATAAATGAAAATTGTTCGCGCCTGCGCACCTGTAATGTAATCCGCGCATGCGCATCTGTAATGATCAGACGAGTTTGAGAATTGCCATCGACGGTAGGGCTGGTCACAGCTATGAGTTAATAATGAGCGATAGTAATTAATTATGAGAATTAATAAAGAACCGAACCAGCGAATTTATTATGGTGTGTGTTATTTGGGATGAGACCCAAACAAAAATGATATATCTAGTTGCTCGGTTACCGGTGAAAACATCTACGAGAAAAGAACGCAAAATGAAAAAAACAGGGATGTAAGAGAAGGCAAGGAGAAAACTTAACGGTTTTTAAAATATCGCAATGCAAAATATCGTTGTAGAAAACAGATAAGTGATAGAATTTCGCAATTTGAAATTATCGCCGCCAAAGTATCGTCGTAGAAAACAAAGCAGCTACATAAAAAGTGAAGTGAAAACATTGCAAAAATATGCATTTTTTTTGCGTCATGTTTACAGTTCTAAGAAATATAATTTTTGTGCTAGCAGCAAATCCTCTTTTCGACGACCATTCACGGCTTCGGATGATTTTGGTCTTCTGTCGCTGATTTTCTGTGACCTTGCCTTTTGTGGCCTCGGATGATTTTGATCTTTAGGAAGGCAGAAACAGAAAGAAAAGAAAGAAGAAAGTGAAGAAAGAAAGTGATATTTAATAAAGACGTTAATTTCTTTTTTAGAATTACTGGTTATTTTAAACGGTTTTCACTACGATAGGGTTCGCTGCATTTAAATTCGAGAGAAAATATAAAGATTTCTTTCATTTATACTTTTAGATATTATTGCTTGCGTACGGGTTCGTAATAAATTGAATAAAACTTTGAACAGAACTTAAAACAGAGGAAGTTAATCCGATTTCACCACGAATTCGCTACAGTAAACAGCAACAGTTATCCAAACAACAACTGAATTGAGGTGTTTTCCACCAGCTTTTATAAGCTTTTTAAACCACGCAAGAGGATCTTCTTGTATTTTCTCCACTTTTCTTGACAGCGGAAGAGTAAAATTACGAGATATCTATTATTAAAATGTTCAATGCGTGTGTTCCTGTATTTTAATTTTTCGGGCGTAGCATTCTCTTCAAATAAGTCTCGTGGTGCATTGCACGGGAATATAAAACAGTTTTAATCATAATTCTACTAAACATAGCTAATTAAGTACAAAATCCGTAACAATATTATTTTAATGTACAGATCAAAATTACTCATATAATTCTCTCTTTTTTGCAATGGAAATAAACAGGATCAAACGATTATGTTGAGTGATTTCGATTTTCATATTAAATAATGTCCAAACTCCACAGAGAAAAAAAGCATATTTTAGAACTTTCTTTCTAATTAAAATGCAGCAAACCCTTTCGATAGCGACAACCTTCCCAAGATAATCATCTCTGAAAGTAACCAGTATTTCTGAAAAAAATTAATTAACATCTTTTACATCACCACCCTAAAATGACCGTATCCACAGAAGACCAAAATTACCTGAAATCGTAAGTGATTGTCTTAGACAGTTTTCGATTCCTGCAATGTATTTGCTATTCAGTGTTTTGTAGCTGCTATACGTTTATACATGATGTGTTGTACGACGATGTTTTCAAAGTGTTAATTTTGTCTCCACTTTTTTCCTACGACGATATTTTGCACTGCGATATTTTAGAAACGCAAAGTTTTCTGAGATTTATTCCTTCTATGATTATTTATTTCTACGACGATGTTTTCTCCTTGCGTTGTTTTCTTCGTGATTTTTTCGTCCGTGCTGCTTTCAGCGGACATCAATTGTTCCAAAATTTGAATGACAGGTTTAAAAATATCCTGCTTTCTTTTATTCTACGATATATATCCTTTAATTTCAATCCAATCAACCAAGAAAAAAAACTTTGATTCTAAGAAAATAAAATGAATAAAACGAAATGCTCAAATACATGTAATGAATACTTTTTTATTAATTGAATTTAATTTATTAATAGTAAGGAATGTCACAGAGCCCAATCCATTCTTCGAATGAATAATTATTGTTTGAGAACTTTAATGAAGTCTTACATATCAGTGGAAAGTATATATCAGTACTCTTACTTACAGAAAATAAATTCATAGCATTTAGGTAAACAGTTATCGACTTACAGAATCTGTGTTTTACAATGCTGCCACCGTTTATATTGACAAATTTCTAACGTGCCTGTCTTTCACTCGTCTGCAATTGTGAACATGTTTCTCTGACCATCAAACATTAAAAATAAATTACTGTTTATACTACTTATTCATATGAATGAGTAATTTATCAAAGAATCTTCCTCTTTTTCTGAAAATTGAATTCACCATCTTACTGAACTGTCTTCATTTCTTAAAAGTTGTCCTTTCTCCAAAGAGAACTAAGTAATGTAAATTGAATTCAATTTGACGTATCCACTTCTATCAATTAAGAAAATAAGGGGATCACACCCTTTTAGTTCGGCTCCGTATAATGAGAGGAACGAATTCGACAATGAAGCCTATTTTAGGGACTCGAATGGCTCGAACCCTTGCTGGCCTAAACCTGATCACGGATTATTCTATATTAGCTATATATGCTCTTCATACTATTAAGATCTCTGCAGTCCTTGTTCAGCAATGTAAATGTAATTGCAATTTCTCAATTACCTCCCGATGGGACATCTTTAAGGGCATTACGGGAGGCGTTGTATCTAGACAGTGGAGAACGAGGGATATATACTTGCTTATCATTAGTAGCCACCAGGTGTGCCCTACCTATCTCCCGATCACGGAAAGGCAGCCTTCCTCAGCATACATGGAAGAATATTCTAACGTGATGATCGTCTGCCGAGTCGAATACACTCAAACAGATACTAATTAGAGACGCGTTTCGTGATGCTTCTCCTGGAATCGACGCCTCTTGAATACAGATCTCAACAAACACGATAAGGGACACAAGGGGAGTAGATTAAAGGATATAAATTAAAATGAATGATTGATTTTTAAATATCACGCTTTGAAATATAAATACTCAATCAGTTAATCTAGTTTTCACCTTTTTCTCAGTTATCATTTCATCCAATTAATTTTGGAATACTGATCATAATTTCATAATAATTCGTTTTTTATTTCTCGCGAGTTTTGAAAAAATGTTGTGTAAGCTTTATGAAAAGTTGCAAGTGAACGAGAAAAGGACAGAATGCTTAATGAAACAATTTAATGCTTTACCCAATGCAATTTAATGAAATTTTGATTTTTCAGCTAGGAATATCTAGCTGAAAAATCAAAATTTCAAACTAGTGCAAAAACATTCGGTACTTAGCTTTATTTTTCACAAACACACACACCACACACACACAAAAAAAAAAAAAAAAAAAAAAAAAAAAATAAACAATAAATAAATAAATAAATAAATAAATAAAATAAAAAACTGAACTGATAAATGATTTTTTTTTTTTTTCATGTTTTTTTGTTTGTTTGTTTTTGCATGTTAAATTGATACATTTTTATTAATAGTCAGTTTCAGTATAATTATGTAAATCTCCATACTTTTTTATGCACATTTGAACGAAAGACTAACTGCATATTACTTCAGAAATCTACTATATTGTAATGTATCTAATGTAAATAACATGTCTAATGCACACATAAAGTGCATATTTGTTGTGCAATAATATGTTTAATGTGTAATAAATGCTAATAATGTTTAATGTGTTAATAATAATGTTTTCTGTGGAAAGACAGTACTGTGATAAAGACAGTAATAAAAGACAGTAGTAATAAAGGCATACTGTGTACACACACAAGTACAGCAGTACAAAGGATTGGACAATGATTCTGAAAAAGGGTGACAGTGACATGAAACTGCATAGCTGTGCAACGAAAATAAAATATTTTTATAACAAGGAGAATCTAAAAGAGCACCTCAAATAGAAAATGTGCTGCGATGTGATATAGTTTTGAAAACATTGTTATACGATTGATATTATTGACCTTATTTAGAGAGTTGTACGTTACTGGAAACATAAGGAATAATACCTGGAGTCCCTGGAAGACCTGTATCACCGGGTTCTCCTTGAAGTCCTCTAGGTCCTGGTATTGGTTTTCCGAATTCAACGATAGGTCCTCGAGGCCCCTAAACGAAAGAATTTATATGTTTAATGTAAGCATATAACATTTCTGTTATTATTATGATTAGTAATTAGCAATTAGACACAGTAATTTAGTTATGCTAAGAAATAATTCATAATTAAAATGACAATTAGTAATTATTAATCACACAATAATTAATTAATAAACAAATGATAACTTATAAAATGAAACATTATGTAATAAATTATTAAATAATATACAATAATAATTTATCAGCAATATTAAATAATTCATGAAAGTATTTAATAACGATAATTAATAAATAATAAGTAAAATGATAATTATCAAAAGCACTACAGTGGATTCCAGCGCACATAGATATTTATGGCAATCAGCAAGCCAACTACCTCGCCAAAGAAGCCTGAAATGGTACTCAACTTTCCAACAGCTTAACCCTTGCCGATCCAAATGCCATAACTAGCTGAAGACTCATCTCCCAAGAAGTTAAGAAAAAGATCAATTCCCGAGCTAAACTGCAACTGAATTATTTCATCTAATTTTTGCCAAAGTGAGAATAAAACACTTTAAAGGAATGAAAATATCCCCTGATGGTCAGCGAAGATATAATTGCTGCCCTCACTGTCCTGGTACACATCTTTGACTGTCCTGCCATATTGGTCAGGTTTTTCAGAATTGACTTTGTCCACCACAGTGAGAGCTCCTATATTCTTCGAGGATCGTCAACGTCGCTAGGGCTGTTTTAGATACTTTTGGCCCTAGCTGACCTTTCTGCACTAACTTTTGGACAAGATAACAATAACAGCAGTCCGTTGTGTAATCGTAACTCAATAATCATCCACACTGAGATGAATCTTTTGCTACATTTATGATGCAAAATTATTTTGAAATCTGAAGCCAACTTGATGAAATTTTCTATTAAATTCGGAATAATGCATCCTTTTATCATACATTTTGAACTGCTTTTAATAGAGTTTGTTTCATGCCAAACTTGCTTTATTTTATGCGAAGATATTTCCAGAAGTATACTATCTGGTTACCATTAAGTTTAAAAGAAATACTGTATGTGTAATTAAAGACCTAAATTTCAAAAACTGTTCAATTACGACCGATTGAAGCTATGATTTTGCATATTTTTTTGCTACTACTATGTATCTGGAGAAGCATCATTTAGGCTAAGTTTACCTCTTATTTGAAAAAAGAACGTTCTGCTCTGAAGAGTTTGCTATGTTTAGAGTAAAGTATCATTTATAAGCTTTCAAAAGACAGTTAAAAAGACCTCTAAATGAGGAAGAAGTATAATCAAAGTTTTAGTTTAAGCGTAATGTGTTGTATTTTTAGTTGTAACATTTCTATGCTACTACTATACTACTGCTAAAATAAAAATTTAAAATTTTAGTTTTAACTTAAATGCGTATATTTTAGTTGCAACATTTCTATGCTATTACTGTACTACTGCTAAAATAAAAGATTCAAATTAAATTTTATCACTTTAAATATTAATTTTTTTAAATACTATCTGATAAAACTAAACTAACTAATGAAAGCTAATTTTAAAATGTTAAAGCAGTGGATTTGTTTTAAATAGTAAGAATACAAACTACTTAACATTTAACATCAAAATCTCAAATATTATATCTTTATTTTTCAAATGCTCATTTTGAGAAAATAATATTTTTTTAAAAAATTTTAATATAAATACAAATTTTAATTTTTTTAAAATAATCTTCAGGTGTCGACTGAGGTGCGGTTTGATCTTGAGCCTTAAGTAAAGGACTACGATCGAATTATCTTTTTGAAATATTGTCGCAATATACTGTCGCTTATTATATCGGATGTATACAAATTTCTGAGTGAGTCAACTCCATCATACGATATTTCTGAGTGCGTCAACGCACAGCATTCTGAAAAAAAGGTAGGATTAATTCTTTACTCTCAGCTTCATTGTCGCTGCTTAAACAGTGATGGAAAAGACTTCCAGAGAAACAATTTAAATAACGAAAACAAACGTCGACGTATAACCGAAGTTATGCGTCATATAAATGAAATATTTTATTGTGAACACGAATAAAAATTAACTGAGGTGCAGAAGAAGCGACGTATAAATGTAAAAGACACGTCAATAAAAAACATAAGCAGTGGTTTTTTATTTTATTATCAAAAAAATAAATATAAGCATAAGCAGTGCCATTTTGCACTATTTTATCACAATCGTATGCCTGCGAAAACGACATACGAGTACTTTACTTTTATTTTATTTGGCAAGAAATCTGGCCTCTTATTAGTAATGTTTAGCATGATGTCTAATGTTGTCTAGCGTGATTCTCCATTATAATTGTGGTTTTATTAAAAACATTTTCTTTTATTTCTATTATCATTTAGAAACATACTATTTCTTAAATTGCAGGCTTTTTAAAATATTCCAATAACTTTAAAAATTATGAGTCTATATTCTCCGTTATCTACTGATGGATTATTTTACGTATTTTTTAAACATGAAGTTTTAAATGAAGACTTATATTGAAATGAAAATATCACAAAATAGCTTTCTAAAATAAAAAACTAAATTTCGGAAGAGCAATTTCATGATTCGCAGCAGTTTAAAATATAAAAATATTATGAAAATATAAAACTGTATTTATTATAATCTATTACAATATTGATGCTTATAATCTATAAATACAAGAATAAAGTACGTAAAACTAAGTAGTTATAAAATGGCACTCCAGTCCAAATTATTTTTTCAGAAGCGATTACATAACATAAGACAATAACACATCTGAGAAATTAATTTTATAATTGACTTATAAACAGATATTTAAATAAAAGTTATTTTTGATTATTTTTGTTGTTATTCTATATGTTTATGAACTTTTTTATTTTCTACGAAAAGGAGTTCCACATTAATCAATAAATATATAGTGCCACAATAAACACACGATCACTTCACATAAATCTTTCATTGATATACTTCTGTCTTTATAATTAACAGAGGAGATTCTAGTTCTAATATTATGTAGTAATCCTGAGAAAGAAAATGCGAGAGAAGAAGACAAAACAATCAACAATAGAATAAATGCGAGAAAAATTGCTCAAATTCTTTTAATAATTTGGTATTCAAATAAATCTAAATTAAAAGATAAGCTACTTCCTACATTCTCTAATTTTACTTAAACAATTTTACATAAATTAACAGGTACAGTTTTTTCAATCATTCAATATTTACTGTCACAAGCTTAAAGATGCCATAAGGTAGCATTTAATCATTAATTCTTAAGCCGGAAATTGCCTTCAGTTTCACATTGTTTTCGAAATACATTACACTGTTTAAAAAAATTAATAAATTTTAATAATCATGCGAAACTGTTAATGAAAAAAATTAAACATAGAAAAGTATAAACATCTCTTTTAGCATCGCCTTCGCCCCTTCTTCAGAAAGCAAAATTAAAATTTGTACAAAACATAGAATACAGTGAGTTCTGCATTCAAATTCTGAAACGTCATTGAAACAAATTCAGCTTCAGTTATCATACAGGATGTCCCCGGAAACGTGCGACACCGTTACATGTATATTCGGCAGGTTAGACGAAATACAACGTCGTTAAAATGATTTCGATACATAGCTTCGTTCAGAAGATCTGTGACTCAAATCCAGTGGCATTACTTCCAATTACCAAATGAAAGAACACTCGTGACCAATTCTCAACCATGTTCTTTTTATGCAAATCGTCAGAATTGAAACCCATCTATGGTGCCAAAATCACTTGTATATGAGGGGTCCTTGAAAACTGCAGAGGACTTTTGTAGGCATTCACGTCAGCTTTAGATAACATTCGAACGAAGTCCATCTTTGAACGTCCTCAGGGGCAAAAACTCATATTAAGAGCCATAAGGCCCTCTTCAGAATCAAAACATTTCATTCTGAAGAAGGGTAACTTATGTCTAATCATCATCTAACTGATAGTGTTTATTCAATTTCCCAGTCAATCTAAAGCCACTATTTTGCCGAGTTTAAAATCTCGTTTTCTTTCATGCATAAACATATTTGCTACCTTCATGTGCAGTTTGGTGATATTCAAAACTGTAAAATTTTTTTTTGATATTACCGTCACGTACTTAACATTTGGAAACCACCGTGTATATACAAACACATATGTGTATATGCAAGATAAAAAATACGTAAAGCAAAATTATACATTAGCAATAGCACATTAGTTCTTCATTTTAATTACAGCATTTCCTCTCTCTGTTCCAAAAATAATCTAATAATTCAAATTGCTTAACGTAACCTTTTCTGGATAAAATTCTCAAAAAAATTTAAAAGTTCTTTACTTAAAGCAAATTATTAAAATCCAAATGCCTGATATAAAATTTTAATAAAACAGCGTTACATATATTAAATCTAATATAAAGAAATATTGCATGCTCAAATTTCAAAACAGAACCAATTATTGAGTAAGTTGTTTTGTCACTAAGGATCTCTTATGTGGTTTCAAATGATTTTGCGCTGCGAAGCAGATAGCATATACGAAAGACCTTGCAATTTGTATTTGCGCACTATAATCTGTTAAAAATGTATCAAAATATACACGGATTAAAATGGTCGCTATAATAAACATTAATAATACATCGCGGACCGAAAAAAATTATTTCATGTGGCCCTCGGCCCACCACTTGGTTATGACTCTTTCAATAATAAATAGAATTTTCAGATAAATACCTCTGGACCTTGAGGACCAGGTTGCCCTATTCTTCCTGGATCTCCAGGTAGGCCCTAAAATAAATAATAGAATGTAAGTAAAAACAAAACCTGATTTCAAATAAAAATAATTATATAAAATTTCAGTATACATTTTACATAATAACAAAGCCTGAATAAGGATAAGAAGATTTCAGTTATACGGAAAAATATTTCAAATATCATTACATATTATTTATTTTTAAAATGATATACAGCATTAGAAAAACATTGAATAAAAATGTTGCTATAGTCTTCTAAAATGATCAAATAAATAAAATTTTTTTTAAATATATTAAATTTATTATCTATTCATAGAAAATTGAATTTTATTTATGTAATCTTTTTAGTCAAGCGGGAAAAAACAAAATTAATGAAGTAAAAATTGTGAAAATCAAATGTACATGTTAGTAATTTTCTCAAGATCTGCTGCAAGTATCAAAAGACGACATGTTATACCTTTTTTATTTTAAATTGCAGTTTTGGATGGCATAGCAATACCTTCTATTCTATTAGCGCATAAGACAAAAGAAATCAAGTTTGAAATAAAGCTCATGCTTTCAAATGAATGAATTTAAATGCGCTTAGCGCCGCAAATGCCCTTAATAGCTTTTAAAATTGAATTTTAGAAATATATCCCCCAAAACTACCATTGGGCTAAAAGTATATGCAACAAACGCTAAATGAAAAAGTACGATTGTAAGAAAGCGAATTGGCTAACAAAATTAGAATAAAATGCAATCCTACTTTCACACCACAACGCCTTGAAAAGTGGCATGCCGGATCTATGCGTCAGTTTTCAAGCAGCGACAGTTCTGTGTAATTCGAGATAGCCAAAGCGGAAAGCGTTAGCCTAAGATACCATTTACACCATGAAATGCGTTGGAGGGTTATCGAGATGTTGCAAGCTGATGCAAGACAATCCGATGTTGCGAGAGAGCTGAATATACATCGTGGTGTCATCAGTAGGCTATGGAATAGTTACCAAATGGATCAAAACCCCTGTAGAAGACGTGGGTCTGAACGCCGGAGAATCACCACAACGGCAGACGATCGCTTTCTGTTGCTATGTGTAATACGCCGTAGATCACTAACATAATGATAACTGGTGTCGCATCTCTCTGCTGCTGCAGGATGGCTCATATCCCTTTAAACCGGGTCGCATCGTCTGCATGAAGGTGGGATGTACGTCCGACAACCCGTGGTTTATATCCCTTTGCCCCATCGCATGTCAGAGTGCAACTGAATTGGGACCCTGAATATCGCAGTTAAACACCGGAACAGCGGGGCCACGTATGTTTTACGAATGACTTTCGATTTAACATCCAGAACGATTCCCGAAGGGCAGAGATATCGCGATAGCCATGTACACGCTATTGGGCGCCAAACATTGTCGAAAGATTCTTTTACAGAGAAGGTCTTTTTTATCTGTATGGGCTGGGATAGCAAAGAGCGGCCGCACTGAGTTCTAAGTGATACCTGAAGGTTCCGTCACAGACGTCTGACATCGCGGCGAAATTCTACACCCGCTTGTGTGTCCTTTTATCGCTGCAATGGACGCCGATATGATATTTATGGACGATAATGCCCCCTCGGAATTACAGTGTGGCCATACCACATCAGCCGTGGCCTGCTAGATCACCGAACCTGAATCTCATATAGCATGCATGGGACATGCGACGACGGATAGTCTGCCGCCAGGCATCCCCCATGAGCATCGACATGTATTACTACAGGAATGGGCGCTACTGCCACGAGAAACGATCAAAGACACAACTGTCAGCTTACGTTGCCGTTGTTGAGCATGCATTTCAGCTACAGGGTAACATACCTATTATTAGCGCATGTTTCCGTTGAACATTCTTCCGAAAAATTTGGTCTTACGCCATGTAATGGTCGTAATACATGTCTGTTTATATGTCTTTGCTTTATTGTTTGCTGTGTGGTCTAGTAATGCCACACTAACCCGTTGGATCAGTTTCACGCATATCTACGAAACAGGTTTTCTTTAATTCTGTATTTTGCCTTTCTTACTTATTTTTTGAGCAAGAATGTACTTATCAGTTAACTTACTTTTACTTCCAAATATTCATAGATATATGTTTTAAGATAGAGTTTCAGATGAACAAAAAGATGCAAATTTTAATTAAAAATGCATATATATAGTAGTTTATAAGTTCTTTAATTTATGTTATAAAAAGTCTAGCGCATAATACAATCTGAGATGTTTAAGTGAACGAAATTGCTACGTTCGTGCTTTAAAATTATTTCGAACAGGGGCTAAAGGAGTTCAGCGACTTTGTCGAAACTTTTAGCCCATTCAAGAAAAAAATAAAAAAATTCATCTGCCGTGTAACTGTTAAACCATCAGAAATGACTGGTTTATGATACGACAGCAAATTATGGATAAAATGTATTTTCATATCTCATGAGTATTACTCTTTGGTAATGAATATAACTTCACAAAATGAGTATTACTTGAAGATTAATCCCATCCCCAGTTTACTAATAAACAAATGAAAAGGTTCAATGTAGAAAATACCACAAATAAGTATGGAAATTAAAAAACTGTCGCTGGCTGCAATTTCTTTGATGTTCAGTTAAATTTAAGGTCAGTAAACACAGTAAAGCTTTGTTGTACCCCATATAGAAATACTAGTGCTTAGTCTAGAGTGTGATAAGAATCATAACAGCAGGTCAAAATTATTGCTCACACTAATTCTCTCTTCAGGTTGGATTTCTTAAAAGAAATCGAAGTTTTCATTTATGGGAATTTTGTTAATTATTTATCTTCCACTGTGTCCCAACCGGAGATGCAGAAAACCTTGTGCCGAGACCCACCTATCTTTTCTCGACCAAAAATTATAAGTTGTTGCTGCGTTCGCTAATAGCAGCAAGATGGTATGAGCTTCAAATGCAAACAACGACAATGTTTAAATTTTTTGCTTGGTTATGCTAATTTTAGCATTGAGCTTTTTGATATGTTTATGGTTAACTCTGTGCCACTGAAATAAAGTTATTAATACTCTTTATATTAATGCACATAATTAATTACCTATGTAACGACACGAAAGAAGTTCTTAATATTTATGAATTCGAAGGAACAATTTCTATTGCATTTTACTTTTATTTAAAATCGAAAAAAATCTCACCTTTGCTCCAGGTCTTCCATCAACACCTGTAAGCCCTGGATTTCCTTTTTGTCCTTTTTCTCCGGGTGAACCTGGATATCCTGTCCTACCCCTTTTACCCTATAAATGAAGAATATCTGTCACAGTTCAGTACCAAACACAAGGAATGAGAAATTTTGAGCAAGAAATGGCTATTATTTATTTGAAAAAGAGTAAGCCTTATTATGTCCAGCATCACAAATATTAATCGTTAGCATCCAGGACACTGGTTAGGCCTTCAGATAAGTAGTCCCCACAGAGCCCATACAAGATCAGTGCTTGACTTACCAGACAAGCACTGGTCTTGTATATAACTAATATATATATATATATATTACTTATATACAAGTCTCTATATATTTTTTATTATATATATATATATATATATATATATATATTAGTGATATATGTTTGTATATAGCTAATATATACTTGCATTATAACTAAGATAGGTTAGACTAATTTATTCTTAATAATAAAGAATAAATTAATAATAAAATTTTCTTTATTTCTTAATGATGAAACATTTTAAGAATGCAATAAGTATACAAATTGCAATTGACGCAGTCTTTACAAATTAAAGTTAGACGACAAGACCAGTGTCTATCACGTATCTTACAAGTTTTGCTTTAAGCCGAAACAAAATAAGATATTTTTTTCAATACTTAGAAGAAAGGATCGATCACATTTATTCTCAAATTGATATCTTAGCTGAGCAGTCATAGATAAGGCTCTAATGCATTTATCAAAAACGATGGTCAAAAATAAACCATTACGTCAAATTAATCGTTATCATGATCCTGTTATGACGTTTCTAAATGTCTGTTACGATGTCTGAAGTGGTAGCACAGAGAGAATATGTAAATTATAAACAAATGAAGTCATTTTGAAACGTTTCTATAAATTCAACATGATGATAAAACGCATTAAATTTCGTAAACGCTTCGGGAAAATGCAAAATATCTCATATGTAGTGAACTTAGATCTACTATAGTACAAATTATTCTTAAGAATAGTTTTTTCCCACGAAAAATGCTAGGGCATATTCTCATATATGTGATTAAAGAAAATTATAAAAAATTAATGACGACATCTGAAGCTTAGAAAATAGTTTTTGTTTAAAATGTGTTTTGATTATGAAATTTTTTCTTATATATCAGAAAGAAATTTATTTTCTCTAAGAAGAATAGAATTTTTACCTTAAACATATTACGTTTCTGCATAGCTCACTTTACGAAACCTTGTAAATACAAACTCAATCTTTAATAACAATGTTTTCGAAAAAAATTGAAATTTTCTAATTTTTTTCGATAAATATAAACCAATCATCTAGTAATGTAGCGTTGTCAAGAAAATGCTATCTCATAAGTAAAAGTCGAATTAATAAACTATACTTAATTTTATGAACTACGCGTTATGAATTACTCATTATTACGAATGAATTATTTTGTAAAGCGTCGCATTTTTGCACAAAGTTTCTCTAAAATATTTAAAATCTATTACTATAGCATGTCTTCATACGTTTTATATAACTAATATAAGTTAGACTGATTTATTATTAACAATAAAGAATAAATTAATAATAAATTTTTATTATTTCCTAATGATGAAACATTCTTAAAATGCAATAAATAATTAGAATACAAATTGCAATTGACACAGTCTTTACAAATTAAAGTTACCAAAAATGGCGCTCAGAAATTTGCAGTTTTAACTAATAATACTAGTAAATACAACTCAACACGTATCACTGTTACAGAATATATCTCCTATAAAAATTTCTTCGTTTTTTTTAAATTTGTAGTTAAATTGTCCATTAAAAGATAAATTCGTATCTTTCGTACACGTATATTAAAACATAGTAATAAATTTATTTAGCAAAAGTGCTAATTGCTTATAAATATTATAATTGCGACACAAGTTATATAATGGCATTATATTGCGAATTCTGCATTAACGTAGAACATACCCTTGGTCCCGTATTTCCTCTTTCACCTTTATCACCATCAGGACCTTTCTGACCTTTTTGACCCTAAGAAATATAAATAAATAAATAAATATTAGCTCTAGATTAATATCATCAAAAACTAAAGGGTTCACTTTAATAATTTTCTTATACACACGTTAATAAGTTAACGGAAGCCTTATCAAAATATTTTGGTGATTCGATTATCATACTTATATACTGTGCCTTCTTATTCGTGTCTTAAATTTAATCGTTAAAGTTGGAATGATGTAAAAATGAACTAAATTGTTTGGGCTGTTTTTTTATCCGGTTTTTTAAACTTGGTTACTCTATTTAATTCGATTAAATTTTAAAACTCAATTTTTATTTCCTTCAATCGGGCCGATATTCCTGAAATGTTACTCAGAAATGTATTTGCGATGCCAATATAATATTTTACATGAAAACTTTCAAAATTCGATATGGATACTTTTTAAATTACTGCTGAAGTTTTCTCATAAATCGCTGTTTAATGGTCAGAATAATTAGCCCAGAAGTTTTTATCTTCACGCTATTGAACAAGGAGAAAGATATAAATTTAGGCAAAGATTAAACCACGTATTTGCTGGTAAACCATGGGCCTGTACCTGTCCACCCTCGAAATCAATAGAGCTTCAATTAGATTTAATTGAAACTCTATCGATTTCGCCGGCGGACAGGTAAAGGAGGAGCAAACAAATTCTGCGAAGAAGATAGTCCAATTGTCAAATGAATACGTTTGAAAGGCCAAAGTTTAAGCTAAGCTGGAATGATGCCGCCTGGGCACTTGATGTGAGATAGAGTGAAATGTAATTCTCCAAGGGAGGAAGCAGGAGGGACGTAGGCAAAAGGGGGAGACCATTGTCTCATGAACCAATACATGAACGAAAGTCATTAGAGATTGCACGCTTCCTGGGTACAAAATAAACGTGAAAATCAAATAGAAATAGGAAATAAATCAGTGCAGGGTCTCCCCAGTGATCATAAATATATATATACTACTTACAGAGACACTGAAATATAGCAAACCGATACTAGTACATATGATGCAGCGGTAAAGTTTAAAATAAATAATTAAAATATGAAAAAAATTGCGCATGAGCTATAAAGATTCACTCCTATTACAGATGAAAGAGTATAAAATAAAATATGTCTAAAAATGTTTTTTAAATAACAAGGTTTTATTTCAGTTCACGAAAATAGAAAAATATCGAAATCTGAGTCTTGAACAGTTTTAAAAAATTTAATCATTTTATTTTAAAGGCTAATAATAATGAGATAAAAAGTATAGACTTGGAGTTATGTAGTAAACGGAATTCGTCCTTGAATCATGACGCAAAAAATTCAGTTGGATAAGTAACCGAGATATCTGAGGCCTTAGAAATAGGGATATGATAATCTAAATTAAATAACTTGTTACCCAATTGACGTCTTAAAAAAGATAATGCATAAAAATAGCTAAGAAATTGGGAAACTGATGGCTGTGATCATATTCAATTCATTATTCTGCATTGAAAATGAAAGATATTTAAGCAAAAAAATGTTGCTCGTCCTAGCGATAAATGTTTACCAAATGGATAAATAGAACTCGTTATTGAATTTGCAGTAAATATTAATTACATATATTTCTTATGCACTTAGGACTGGATTATTTAAATTACGGCAAAGGCAGGCGCAAGAGCTATCTTCTATGGATAGGAATGCCTTCTTGGAAGTCTTTAATAAGGGACTTAAGTCTTTTTAATGCTTGTATTCGCAATACACGTCTGTTGTTAATAGAGATATGGAACATTTTTCGACTCGGCAGAGCAAGGATCGGCAACACGGTGCCCAGAAGAAAATTTAATTGATTTTCCGTTCCAATACCTTAATTCTAAATTTTAGATATTTGGACAAGAAACACTCGTAATTGTAATGCATAATTTTAGTTCAAATTCTTATTTTATCTTTGCCATTTTAAAAAATTGTATGAATATTAGCTTTTAAACTTTTAACAAAAATTGAATCTGAGCAGATGAGTAAAGATGATCAACGACAGCTAAATCAATTTCCGACTAATAGAGACATGATCACACATACATTGAATCAAAAGGTGTATAAACAAAGTAATGAGGCTTATGTTTTACTAGCAACTTCGCTGCCAGCCTTCGTCTGGCTTTTAAATGTACCGAAAAAATGGTTGAAGGGAACACCAAACGTTTAATTTAAAAACTGCGTAGAATTTTACTCTGCAGAACAACTTCATAAAAAACGTTATTACGTATATCAAAATTGCAATGAAATAAGCAATATCCCTTAATACAAATATTAATTATCCTAATAATATATTAATCAACTTCCCTTTGTAAAATCTTAAGAACTCAAATAGTATAAAGGAGGTCAAGAATCTTCTTTCCTAAAAAAATCACTCAAAACTTTTCAATATCTTAAAAACAGTGAAATGAGCGATAAATAACATAAAAGAATACAAAAAAAAAAAAAAAAAAAAAATCAGAAAAGCAAAGTATAATTAATAATATTTTATCTTATATTTTCAAGAGAAAAAAATTACAAAGAAATAAGCTATATCCCTTAATACAAATATTAATTATCCTAATAAAAAAATTAACCAACTTTCCGTTGAAGAAAAAAAAATCATGCAAAGCTTTTCAATATCTTACAAACAGTGAAATAAGCAAAAAATAACATGAAAGCAACTCAAAAAACATAAAATTCCGCGCAGAATTTTACTCTGCAGAACAACTTTATCAAAACAAAATCAATAAAAATGTATTATATATATATATAAATGACAATAAACTATGTCAAGCTCTTAAAAACAGTGACATAAGAAATACGATGAAAAATTGTTGCCAAATCCAGATTTCTAAAAGAATGAAACTATTCAAAATGATGCGATTTCATCAAAAATCTATCAACAACAATAAGACAAGAAAATTGTTGCCAAAATCACATTTTTAAAGATGTGAGAAGTGTACTCAGAAGCTTCATTTTAAAAAAATCTTTTAAAAATACAAAATATTATCATTTTTCCAAAATTCTTTTTGTAAAAGCAGTCTCAAGGATGAAAGTTTAACGTGTCCAAAAATCAAAGAAAAATAAGCTATACATTTTTTAAAATAAACTTTTTTAGAAAAAATCCCGTTGAAAAGGTGTTAAGTTCCCTTTGTTAAATAAATTCGCATTTAATCGATTTAGTGAAACACGAAATTAATTTAAGTTCGTAAAATAGCTAAGTACCTACGTTTCACGACGATGTGAAAATGGAGTGTGTAGAGTAAAATCTCGCTTTCATATAGCCCATTATGTCTCAAAATGACGCGATTTCGTCACAAAACCTAAAATAAAAAAAAATTCTAAATGTACCAAATTTCGTAGCCGTGGGTCTATTAGCTTACGCGCAGCGCGAACGAAAGGCACACACAAACACACACACAGACTCTTCTTTTATTATATGTAGAGATAATGTTTTATTTAGATTAAATTAAATTCTCACGCTATTTCAACGTAATTACTTGGAGAAGCCCCACAGAGTTGGAGACGTCTTTTCATAGCGGTGCTGGAACTCATATATTAGAATTGCCTCAGTTGCTCGTTTACGGTCGTTTTAGTATGTTTTATTGTCCCAAAATGCCGTCCTTTGAGGTAGGTTTCTAATATTAGAAACAGAAAACGTCGCATGGACTCAAGTCACAATATGAAAAGTGGACAGTGTAGCCACAAGGATATTTTTGCGTGCCAAAAGATCACTAACTGAAATTGCAGTATGACATGTCGCATTGTCGGGTGCAGCACTCAGTTGGACTTGATTCTCCGCCTCACACTCATGACACTCTTTCGGAGTCTTTCAAGAACCGTTTGGCCTAGAGGCACAACTGTTTTAGATGACTAGCAATTCAGCATGCTTTTGATCTTTGATTTGCTCATTCTTGTTTATTTTGGTCTTTGCGAATTTGAAGTGTGCCATTCCTGGTTCTGAAACTTCGTTTCTGGGTCGTACTCAAACATCCAAGACTCAGCACCAGTAATGACATGTTCCAGAGAATGAGGATCAGTTTCAGTCCGCTCCAAAAAATCAAGGCACTTGTCCCTCCTATTGTTCTTTTGTTCCTCCGAAAGGTCATTCGGAATTCAACTTTCGCATAGATTTTCCTCATCCGCAATTCATTCATTAAAGTCTGCTAATGGTGGCGTGATTCAAATCTTCTCCGATCTTTCTGATTGCCAAGCGTTTATTCAGATTCTGGCAAAATGTTCTTTAATTGCTGGAGGCCTTTCCCTCTGAAGTTTGTCTTCAATTCATTCCCTTCCTCCTAAAAACACCTTACCACCTGAACCCTTGGCAAAACATTGTCTCTATTGGCAATGCTCATGTTTCAGCAAAAGTTCTTATGCAAAATTTGAGAGCCCAACGCTGATCAAAATTGGCATCACTCAATTTCAGAACGCACTAGAAAAAATCAGTTTACGAAAAATAAATCTTGATAACTACGTGACTCTACGCTTTAATACTCATACTGCTGTGCATCGGATGTTGTCTCACCGTTCCCATCGAACTGGAAGTCCACAGTGTTGCCTACACTATGGAATTATAGTTACGAACGATACGCTTAGAGTGTCATTACTTTATTTACACATCTCGAATTTTCTGTTCCAATTATCCATTATACTCTGTTCAAACACGGCATGGAATTCAGGAGGAATCGACGCCTCTTTATTTAACAAACAATAAGTATTCGACCAGCTCCTGGTTTGAGCTCCGTAAAAGGCTTTTGTCAATTTCTGCTGTTTTGTAAGGCGCTCCGATTATTGGGAGCTTTGTTTAGCACACTATGGGAATAAATTTACCGCAGGAATTTGAGACTCCTTTTATGAAGTTTCCTTATTGTGAGATTGAAACTAACTTTGTAAGTACATGTCTGAGATCAGTATTTAAAAAAATAAAGTCTGTAGTTATCTTATACAAACAACCTCTCTGAGCAACTGCACTATGTTTTCAGAGATTTAACATTTCTCTGCGAATAGCTCTGTTTGTTTAGTACCTTTCACAGTGATAATTTACGTATGTTATTTTAATAAATAATCACAATTATCATGAACTATCCATATAATCAAATTCTGTTACCTTTTCAGTGTACTATGCACGCAAAAATAAAATAATAAGGAATTTATCTTACCTCACTGCCTGGTCTTCCATCAAACCCTCTCGGGCCTTCAGCTCCTTTTTCGCCCTAATAAAATTTTAAAAAGTGTCAGAAAATAAAAATCGTCGATCAAAGTTAATTATTTATCTGATACACTATTAAGACGACATTCAATTCTAAAATGCAGCCCATTTTTAATGGCTTCTGATGGGGAAAATATGCATCTTATAATGGAAGAAACACGGAAAACTACTAAGCAAAGAACTCATCTAGAAGACAGCCAGAGTGTCATACCTTCTCTCCGGGTCGGCCGGGAGGTCCTGGAATTGGTTCAATGGTTTCTTCATCTGGCCTTCTTGACTCGGGCTCCCTACCAGGTCTCCCGACATCACCAATAGGGCCCGGTTCACCCTAAAATCATAAATGTTAAAAGAAATACTAACTATTTACAAAAGAAATATGAGCATTCTCAAGTGTGACTATGAATATTTAACTGTGACACTTATTCTTATTATCATCTTGATAACAGTAAAATTATTATCATTATTTTAATAACTATAAATAACAAAATGCAGGTATTATTTAGTTGAAAACATTATGTTATTTAAATTCACAAACATAACTCAATGTGTTGAAACAATCTTAGAATATATACATTAATACTTTTGCATCTGACGTATAATAAGAATAATGTTATTACGGTAAGTAAATTAAACCAGGTAAAAAGTATGACAGTAATAACAGACTGTAAGATAATACATAAAATGCTTTAAATTAATATTAATATGAATAAGCGATTTTCGGAGGTTTTTGTTATAATTTAAATCTTACAAGTGTATTGACCGGATGCAAGAATACTAATTTCACTATTTTATTTTACAGCATGATTAGTATTCAACTTCCTGTTTTAATCGAAATAATATTTGTTAAACCTTAAATTCTTCAGAAAATGAGACAAACCTCAAACTTTTCTGAATGTTGTTAAAAAATCAGTATAAATAAAATTTAGTTCTGCTGTGATTAATAACAAACCAATAAATTCTTTAAGCTTCTTTAAGTTAAGAACATGGACCCTGAATTTGAGGAAGAAATTAAATCAGTGAGATTGTAGGGTTTATATTTATTTTAACTAACATTTATTTTAAGTTTAAACTATCTTTCCTGTCAAGCCTTACTTTCCCCTGGAATTGCCAATGCCAGATTATGTAAATTTTCGTAGAACGCGCAAAGTATTCAAATTGTCAGCGGAAGTAATTTGAGTTAAATAGAAGGGAAACGAGTTCGAAAGCGTGCTTTCTTGCTTCACGAGCGTGGAGGTGGCTAGGTAGAATTTGAAGAACCACGCGTTTCGGCCTGTGTGCTTGCCTCGGCAGATAGTTGAATCTTTCAACTTAATATTCAGAAGTTAGCTGAAATATCAGCGGTATCTTAGAACGCGGTTAGGTTAGTTACGTTTAGAGAGCCTCGTAGGTAGTAACTTGTTATTATTCATTTTTAGTTTCTTATTTTTATTTACCGCCGGGTCGGCGTAGTTTGTGAGCGTCAAGAGAACGCATCTGTAATTTCTAAAGTTGAATAAAAAGGGATTTAAACTCTTCTCAAGACTTTGTGTACTTTCCAGTTCATAGCAGTCACCACTATTGTTGCGTGCAGGTTGGGGCCGCGCAACATTACAAGATAATGGATGAAATAAATGTACAATGAAACTTCTCGCTGCGAGTATCTCTCTATGAAGATCATCTCAAAAAGTGACAAGTATTAAGAACGTGATCTCTGAAATAACCATTTCCACAAGAGATCAAAATTATCTGGAATCTTAGAGATATCTTAGAAAGAGTTTAGAAGTTTAGTGTAATTTTATAACAACCGTGTTTAGTGCCCTAGAATAAGTAATGTTAGGGTACCTGCTTCACAAAATAAAACACAAGCAGATTAACTTCCGAAAGACAAAAATTGACGCAGCTTTGATATAAAAATCTGCCATTTTAGATGTTATTTTCAATTTTCCTTGAAAGGTCGTTTAAAAATAAATTAGAATAATGGAAGGTTGATTTTTTCCTCTTTAATATCATTCAGCGATATTCTTCTAGGGTGTAACTTCTTTAATTTAACAGTTCGTTCCATAAGATACGCCAAAACAATTTTCCCACGAGCAATTTCGAAACATTATTCATATTCTCATGCATCATGAATTCTATAGCCAATGGCTGCTAAATTAAAGATCTCATAAAACTTTCAGTGAACACTGTATATAAACAAATAAATATATATATGGGGTGTCAAGAATTAAAGAACCCTGTTTGAAAGTTGCCTGCTACGAAACAGTCATCAGAAAATTGTGAAACTGTATGGCGGACTTAATGAAGCGATGGGGTATCTTTCAGGAAAAAAACAAATTAGTTACGAATAGTGACCCCATAGGGGTCCACAGGGTATTAATAAATTACATATCTAGCTACAGATTTATAATAGTTTTTAAAACTTTACAAATTTTTTATTATAACAAAATATGTTACATATGATGGCCATCCTTTTCAGCTACCATCTGAAATTACAAGATGGTATGTTCCACAGTCGACCGATGTATGTGCTGGGAAATGCTGAGCACGTGGCGTGAAATGCTGAGCACGTGGCGTGAAATGCTGACTTTCAGATTAGGTAAATTTCTTGGACTGTCACGGCTTACCAGATGTTTCAAATGCTCCTAAAACCCAAAATCGCATGGATTGAAGTCTGAGGATCGAGGAGGCCCCACATTATGAACGTTTCGGATGATGACATCTTAAATGTAAAATGACATTTAGGAGCATTCGGCATTCGTAACACACCGTGTAATGTGTGAAGAAGCTCCATCTTGCATAAAAATTGCGCGTGCAAGGCACTGACGTGCTTACAGAGACGAAACAAATTTCTTTCTCTGTCAGCGATGTATACCACTGTCCGGTGATCGAGCATGTCACTAGACTTGTAGAACGTAACTCCTTGAAGAACTACGGGCTGAGAAAAAAATGACGCAGAGAAAAATCCATTTTGGTGATAAGTCACTTTTGGTGAATGCAACAGTATCTCTAAGACAGGGCGCTGAATTTCTGGTTCCCAAATTCAGGAGTTATTATTCACTGCACCGCCCAAATAAAAATCCGCTTCCTCTATCCAGAGGATATTCCAAGGCCATCTTGAATCAACCTCAATGCAGAAAGAAACTAAAGTGAGAACCGGAGTCGAGCGTCAAAATCATGTTAAAGCAGCCGTTGCACTAGTGAAAGTTTGTAAGGATAATATGAGGATATTCCCTAAGATCTTATAGGACAGTTGAGAATGGCCTATCCAGCGCCTTTTCTACACACCGCACACTAGTGCTGACTTAAAGATACTGCCTGAAGCGCAACCTTCTGTATTGCTTCTGGAGAAACGGGTTTTTTCCCTCTTACACAGAAAACGATCTTGTTTCTTCAAATTTCGTTATCATTTTCCGGAGGTTTATAACAGTCATTGAATCTCTTCGAATACTCTTCAAAGTCTGAAATTTCCGTAAAGCATTTACTGCGGAATAAGTGTCTTGGTAAGACAATTTAACTCACAAAGCGCGATCTTGTTAACTCATCATTATGAGCTTCAAGGACATTAAAAATAAAACCTCCGCGAATGTTTCAAGTTTTTATAACAGCTGCTGCGTGATGTCGACAAAGATTTGCCTTTTTACTATAGGTTTTCAAAGTAAAACACGCTCTGGTAAAGTTATTTATAACTTATCTTTTCTGAAAGACATTCCTATTCCTTGATTGAGTCGGCCATAAAATTTAACAATTTTCCTGATGAGTGGTTTCCTTTATAGGCAGCTTTGAAATAGAATTCTTTGATTCTAGACACCCTGTATATGAAGCTTCATGCAAACAAAGAAATAAAGTATTATGAACAAAATACAAATTTTAAATAGAAGTTCGAGAAACAAAATACTATGAACAAAATGCAAACAAGAAAGAAATATAAGTTCCGAAAAAGACATTATTACGCACATAATTTTAAAATACTGAAAAAGATTTTCCAATGGGTTTAAACATACTTACTTTTTGACCTTTCTGACCTCGAACTCCTTCTCCCTGAGGACCTCTTGGACCCAAATCTCCCGAAAATCCAGTGAAACCCTATAAAAATAATTTTAAATTTATCTATTTTGAAGTCCCTACCAGCTATCATTAGACATTAATGTAACTTTATTCCATAACAACTAATGTGAGATAACTAGTAAAACAATTAAATATTTTGGAAGCATTGATTTCAAGGAATGCCTCCACGATGGACTTTCTTAGGAAAATGGCCACGCGAAAAAACATAAAACCTACGCCAACCCGAGGCATGAACAATCGCATTGCGAGTCCCGCCTTTCATCTTTAGAACAAATATTACAACATCTCCTGTATTTACCACCATAACTGCAAAGATTGCAACGAAACTGCAATCAGCGATCAATTTCTGCTTATTTGTGCTAATTATTATCTTGACTCCGCCTATTACTAATGTGATGTTTTGCACTTCTGTCATCCCGTCTCTTTCATTTGTTTCATGATTGCATATCTGAAGCCTTCCCCCTGGAAATACCTCTCACAGTCGTCACGGCATCGGGACAAAGATCTCCACTCTTTTTTCAACTCCTATACTTTGGAGCATTCACCTCATCGAACTTTAGAGTCATGACATTTTACGCAAAATTTTTATTGACGGCCCAATTGAGTCACAGATTCGCATAGCTATAACATATCCGTATATCAATAATTATTACACAGAGATTCTTCAATTGTTTACATTCATATATAAATGTGAGCATCAGATTAAAAAGGCGCAGTATGATACTAATTTTTTAATATAAATGAATTTAAAGTTACATTCTATTTAGCTATATATAACATATTTGAATATGTCATAAGCGTACCAGGGCTGCCTGCCTAAGTGGAAAACTTCCAAAGGAAAACTGACTCTTATTCACATTCACCACAAAACCATGAAAACCAACCATGCAACCAGCTCATTAGCCGGCGTTCGAATACAGGTCGAATTGGATTTAGTGGTCTTAACGACTTTATCACTGGAGAGTTACTTAGCTCTATTACTACTTTGCATCTAACAGACGCTTTTTTTTTTAAACTTTAGTAAAATTCTAAACGAAGAACATTTTTTGAAAGTATTACTACCCAAAGTATTATAAAAGATATTATGTAAATCCTTTCCAGCTATATATTACGATTTCGTATTTATTCTACGAATATAGAGGGTGTTTACACATTTTTAGTACGATTTCAAATTTTGTTTAAAATAAAAAAAGTTTGTTTTTAAATGTTCCATATGATAACCTTTCCTCTGGACTGTAAGTATGCATCATGATTTCCAACATAGAAGGGCTTTTCGTAAAATTTCCCAGGGGTACTGATTTCCATTTATCTTCCACTCGTTTCTAGAGTCGGTTAATAGTGCTAGGTTTGCACTTAGAAAGGGCTCTTTTTAAGAGACCAAAGGCTAGTTGTGTCCATAATTGAAACATCAAGGGACTTTGCAGCAGAACGGTGAAAAGGTATAGATACAATACCTGGATCAGTCTTCACACTGTCAAGAAATGCAATCGTACATTTCGAAGTAAGACTTGTTGCTTTGCCTTGATGAAATTTCATTCTTTAAAAGTCACTGAGATAAAGAAGTTGAATTTCTTTTATAAATATCGGACGTAAAACTTTCTCTCGACAGTACGTTGATTTTAACAGTTTCTTCTACTTTTCTTATTTTGAATTTCCCATTGTATAAGAATCCTGCGACAATCGTAATCCTTTTACTAAAACTTTCTTTGCGTCGGCGGAACCAAATTTGTACATTTTCGTTTTCGATAATAATAAATAGATATTTTTCTGGGGCAGTCATTTAAGTAAATTCATGATTCATCAAAGGCCCTAATGTATTTCTATTTATTTTCGGCTTAATAGTTTTCATTACAGGGATCTATAAATTGTACTGCATTGAACCACATGCTTTCGCCAAAGGAGGTGAACATTATAATTTTTAGCGTTTTTAAATTGTAAATCTCGTTTTATTAGTTTATTTATAATTGATTTCAGAGTCGGCGAATTTTCTATTGTTACCAATGATTTAAATTAAGTACAAACATTACGTACCTTTTTCAGGTATTTGTTTGGAGTCATCTTTCCATGTAGAAGTAGCGAGTAATAGTTTTTCTCCATTCCGACTAACGACGTTGTTCATTTTGCAGTTAGAAATTTTAATATCAAAGATTTTTAATTATGAAATAGGAATATTTCTATTTGGAAAGAGCACAAAGTATTCTTCAATTCATAGTTTCGTTACACGAGGCATGTTGAAAGAAAAGAAGATGATGTTTCTCACTGTAATATTCTTCCATTGCTTTTAAATAAGATACAAATAATTTCTATACAAAATAAGAATTTTGCTAAATTTACAAATGTGCCAATTAATTTTACAATGCATATAGATTTAATCATTTATTATTAGACATTAATCACATAGGTTTGTTAGCAGTCACTGTTCATTGCAATGAAACCCTTGATTTAAAATAACAACGCTGATTACATTACCAGACTTTGACTGATTAAAAATGTATAATATTTTTATTACATTTACTAATTATATGTGAGCTTTTTTATTACCCCGCCCCCCGATATGCCAGAACAAATCCTTGACGGCACTGAATTTTTTCGTAAAATGTTTAATATATACATATATATATATATTTACTAGGCCAGAACATTTTGTGATTGATATTGCGATAGCTCCGTAAATTATCCTTCTTTTTCTGCAATAAATTTGCTGTAGTAATTCTGATTTATATTTTAAGGTTTCATTTGCCGATACAGTTTTGAACGGTAATAAATTAAATTTTAATTTTTTAATACTTTTTTTATAATTAATTAATATTTTTAATTCAATTTTTTTAATTTTTATTTTAGATTTAATTGGATAATTTTTTTAATAATTAATTTCAAGTTTCATTTACGATTACAGTTTGAACTGTAATAAGTTTAATAAATTTAACTGTGCTGGTACAATTTAAAACAAATATTAAAAATTTAATAACTTACCCTTGGTCCAGGATCCCCTTGCATTCCTTTTTCTCCTGGAACTCCTGGGTAACCAGGAAGACCCTGAAATTAAAAATCATATAATTTTCATCAATAGATTGCCATCTTCACTGTAAAACCGCATCTTCAGATAGAAAAATATAATTTTGTTATAAAATTTACCGAATATCCAGGTCTTCCAGGCTCCCCTGGGTCCCCTCTAATGCCTAAAGAGTTGATTCCGCCATCTCCTGGATCACCCTAAAGGAAAAATAAATAATTAAAAATTTCGAAGAGAAAAAGCAAATATTGGGTTGCTGGTGAAATTCTTGGCAAAAAGATTTTTTTCCTGGAACTTTGCTCAATATTTCTGCTGTAGCGATATGATATAATTGGATACGGAAAAAAAAAACATTATAGATTAAACTCATACTTTAAACACCCATTGTAATATCCTTTGGATAATTATTGTCTGCTATATATGACTTCAAATCTGAGTTAAATGCTGTCAAGATATACTGTGGTGTCATGAACGTACTGAGAAGATGAACGCCCCCAGCATCAGTCAAAACAAGAATCCTCTTAAGCATAACCGTAATCCTCTTAAACATAGGAATTCACGTCGCATAATGCTTTAAAAGTTGCTCCTGCTAGTCATCGGCATTTTCGCCAAATGTTGATGTTAGCAAATAGTTTTGTCAAGAAATTCGTGAAGATGCGACCGTAGCAAAGTGCTGTCCAAGGTAAGCTATTTTATGGCTTGTGCTTCATTTCAGAAGCTGATAGAACTGGCGCGGAAATTTTGCCTTATCTTCTGTATAGCAACTTTGCACTAATAGGCTGCCTATATTTCTCAGTCGTTGAGTTGCTTCCTTGACAGACCAGCCTCTGTGCACCCTGCTTCTATCACTGCACTATTGTCGCGCCCAGCATTTGTTTAAATCGCTCCTAGCAATCGTCTTGAGCACAATATGTACCAAAGTGTGTTATGTGCACCAAGTTAATTCCGTCAGCGAGGCTATTTGGCCGATATGCTAACAGCCCCAGTGGATCGGCTGCCTCGCTGTCGGTGGAAAGAAAGAAAGACAAGCCTCTGTAAAAAAAATTAAGATGAATGATGGATATACGACATATTTTTGTTTTTAACTTGCTCATATCCATAAGGACGTAACTATATACCTCATCGGATGTTAGCCGAAAATCATCGATATAAGAAGTACTCAGTTATCGCAAAAACCGGATTTTAGTTTTCAATGAATTTATAGCATGGTCCTAAGATCGCTAGAACTCTTTCAGCAACCCAATATTATATATAAATATCCAATGATTTAAGAAGGTAGAAGCAATAAGAAATTAAAAGCAGAAATTTAGTGCCTTCTCTCCATTATAGCCTGGTGATCCATCATATCCTGGTGGTCCTCTTCGTCCTGGTAAACCTGGCGGTCCCGGGCGACCCTACATAAAAGAAAATTTACAATTAAATAAATATATGTTAAACAACAAATTGGATATTCAGCACCCATTCACTGTTAAAGCTCAGTGTGTAAGGATCTTAAGTTTTACTAACGTTTATTTTATTTTAAATCTTACTATCACTTCTTTTTTCTACTTTCCGGCCAGAATTAAAAGCGTTAACTTATTTATGCAAATTTGTCTGGCGAACGACAAGTACTTAATTGTGGCTTTTTGCCAAGCAGAGAGAGAAGGAATTAGTCGAGCAGGCCGCTACTTAAGTTTTACTCAGTTGCTGTTTGCCTCCAGCCAAGGTTTAATCCTCTTGATAATTTTAAACGTATTGTAGTGTTAACAGTTATCTGTACTACATACGGCTTCCTGTAATATACGGCCAATCTTCCTTGTTTATTATTCCAAAGTTAGTTAAATATTTTTATATTCTTACGTTCAGGACCACAGTAGTGGTCTCTGATTCCGAGTACGGAAATTATTGTAAAGAGAAAAATAAAGGGTTTTGTATACCCTTCCTGTGTATCTGTCTACTTCCCACAGTTATTGAACATAGCTTTAGTAAGCTCCCTGTTCCGTCAGGTCTGCATGTTTCCCGAAGAAGACGGAACATAACCTGATAGTGCGCCCACGAGAAGAATAACCATGGCGGTTCAAGAAGACTGTGCTGCCTGCAGAAGCGGCTCAGAATTCAGAAATGCCAGCGCCGCCCTGGAAGGATTTGGACATGTCCAGACCATGCGCGCTTCGATGAAACGAAGCAACATTTATGGAAACTCACCGGTAACCGTTTTTTGGAAAAATTGGATGACC